TGACACACTCCTTACTTGCAGAACTAAGACCCTTGATTTTACAACACAACTAGTTAACTTTCTTTGAGATGTGCAGACCACTGGCCTTGAGAAGTGAAGGACCAGGCCTTTCCTGTGCACAGAAGGCAGAAGTTCTACTTGAAACCAACTCAGTTTTCTGATTAGCCTAAAATTTTAGCAAAATGTTTTTCTTTTTTCAGGTCACACAAATGATTTTACTGACCTCCCTTTGTGTATCTGTAAATATGGCCCTCCTTTGCAAAACGAACAGAGTACTCCTGCACATCATGAACCAAGAACCAGACCCCACTGCATAACCCCCACACACTGAGATAACTTTTGTGGTTGGCATCATCAAGTCTTCACGTAATCAAGAAATGTTGCAGGCCACTGCATTCCCTTTGCGGATTAAGTGCCCTGTATCCCTTTAAAGACCCTCTGGACCAGACAGAAACCTCAGCACTAGTTTTTGCTAATAACAAGAGTTTGCTTTCTCAGGTTACTGGCATTCTAAATAAAACTCAAATTCCTTTCCAATCAAAATTTGTCTCTTGAGTAATGGCCTTTCAAGCAATGGGCAGCCAAACTTGGATACAGTAACAAAAATACCAGCTGCGTTTTTCACAGAACTAGAATAAACAATGCTACAATTTGTATAAAACCACAAAACAGGGGATCCCTGGATGGCTCAGCGGTTTAGTGCCTGCCTTTGGCCCAGAACGCTATCTTGGAGTCCTGGGATAGAGTCCTGCATCAGGTTCCCTGCAAGAAGCCTGCTTCTCCCTCTGCCTGTGGCTCTGCCTCTCTCTCTCTCTCTCTCTCACTGTCTCTCATGAATAAATAAGAAATTCTACAGAAAAAAAAAAAAAAAAAACCACGAAACAGAAACTCCTGGGTGGCTCAGGGGTTGAGTGTCTGCCTTCAGCCCAGGGCATGATACTGGAGTCCCCAGTTTGAGTCCCACAATGGGCTCCCTGCATGGAGCCTGCTTCTCTCTCTGCCTATGTCTCTACCTCTCTCTCTCTCTTCCTCTCTCTCTGTGCCTCTCATGAATAAATAAATAAAATTTTAAAAATAAAACACCTTGAATAATCAGAGCAATCTTGAGAAAGAATAAAGCTGGAGATATCACAATCCCAGATTTCAAGATATACTATAAAGCTGTAATAATCAGAACAGTATAAAAAATAGACACATGGATCAATGGAACAGAATAGAGAGCCCAGAAACAAACCCATGTTTACACAGTCATTAACATATAATAAAAGAGGCAAGATTATACAATAAGGAAAACACAATCTCTTCAATAAATGGTGGTGGAGAAAAATGGACAGCTGCATGCCAAAGAGTGAAACCACAACACTGGCTTACATCACATACAAATGTAAACTCAAAATGGATTAAAGGTCTGAAACCATAAAACTCCTAGAAGAAAACATAGGCAGTAATCTCTTGGACATTGACCTTACCAACATCTTTCTAGATATGTCTTCTCAGGCAAAAGAAACAAAACCAAAAATAAACTACTGGGTCTATATGAAAATAAGAAGCTTTTGCATGTTGAAGGAAACTATCAACAAAACAACAAAATGGCAACCTACTGAATGAAAGAAGATACTTGAAAATGGCATATCCTATAAGGGGTCAAAATTCAAAATATATAAAGAGTTTATACAATTCAACATCAAAAATAATAATCATTATAATCATCCAATTAAAAATGTACAGAGGACATAGACATTTTTCCAAAGAAGAAATACAGATGACCAACAGATACACACATGAAAAGATGTTCAACATCACTCATCATCAAAGAAATGTAAATCAAAACCACAATGAGACATCACCTCATACCTGTCAGAATGGCTAAAATAAAAAACACAAGAAATAACAAGTGTTGGTAAGGATGTGGAGAAAAAGGAACCCTTATGCAGTATTGGTGGGAATATAAACTGCTGCAGCCACTGTGGAAAATGGTATGGTTCTTCAAAAAGTTAAAAATTAAAATACCACATTATCTAGTAACTCCACTACTGGGTATTTACCCAAAGAAAATGAAAATGCTAATTCAAAAAGATATATGCACTCTTATGTTAACTACAGCATTATTTACAATAGCCAGGATACAGAAGCAGCCCAAGTGTCCACTGATTGATAGATGAACGGATAAAGATGTCACACATACATACACACACACACACACACACACACACGAATATTACTCAGCCATAAAAAAGAGTGAGATCTTGCCATTTGCAAAACATAGATGTATATAAAGGGCATTATGCTAAGTAGACTGAGAAAGACAAATACTGTATTTTACTTATATGTGGAATAAAAAAATAAAAACAAAACAGGCTCTTAAATACATAGAACAAACTGGTGGTTGCCAGAGGAGAGGTTGGATAAGGAATATATATAAAGGAAATTAAGAGATACAAACTTTCTGGGGTGCATGGTGTCTCAGGTGGTTAAGTGTCCACCTTTGGTTAGGGTCATGATCCTGAGATCTAGACCCATGTTGGGCTATCTGCTCAGCAGGGAGCCTGTGTCTCCGTCTCCCCACTGCTTATGTACTCTCTCTCACTCTCTCAAAATCTTTTTTAAAACAGAGATACAAACTTTCAGTTATAAGTCACTGAGATGCAAAGTATAGTATAGGTTATATAGTGAGTAATATTACAATAATGTATAACATGATAACTACATTTATTATGGTAAGCATAATGTATAGAATTGTTGAATCCGTATGTTCTACACCTGAAAATAATATAAGATTGTATGTTCATTTTGCTTCAAATTTTAGAAATTGGGATGTTTTCTTTCTGTTGAATTTTGTTACTTTAGATTTTGGATACAAGTCCTTTATCAGATATGTTTTGCAAAGATTTCCTTCTTGTATTTTACTCTTCACCATGTCGTTCAGAGAGCAAAAAAGTCTTTGATTTTAATGAAATCCATCTTCATCTTTTCTTTCAAGGATCAGGCTTTTGGTGTTGTATGTAAAAACAATTGCGACATAAGGTCACCTAGATTTTCTCCTGTGCCATTTTCTAGAAGCTTTATAGTTTTGCATTTTCATTTAGGGATATGGTCCATTTATAGCTAATTTTTGTAAATGGTGTGAGGTCTGTCAAGATTTTTTTTTTGCATATAGATACCAAGTTGTTCTAGCATCATTTGTTGGAAAGACTATCCTTTCTCAATTAAATTGCCTTTGCTCCTTTGCCAAAGATCAGTTTACTATTTTTGTAGGTCTATTTCTGGGCTCTCTATTCTGTTCCATTGATCTTTTTTTTGCCAATATACGCTGTCTTTATTACTATAGCTTTGAGGTCAGGTAGTGTCAGTCCAACTTCTTTGGATTGTGCTGGCTATTTGGGGGTCTTTTGCCTTTCTATATAAACTTTACAATCAATCTGTTGATATTTACAAAATAACTGGCTAAAACTTTGGGATTGCACTGAATCTATAGATCAAGTTGGGAAAAACTGATTTCAAATGATAATGTCTTCCAATCCATAAAGCCAGAATATTCTTCCATTTGTATTTCTTTTTTTTCTTTAATTTTTTTTTTTTATTTATGATAGTCAGAGAGAGAGAGAGAGGCAGAGACACAGGCAGAGGGAGAAGCAGGCTCCATGCACCGGGAGCCCGACGTGGGACTCGATCCCGGGTCTCCAGGATCGCGCCCTGGGCCAAAGGCAGGCGCCCAACCGCTGCGCCACCCAGGGATCCCCATTTGTATTTCTTTAAAAAAAATATTTTATTTATTTATTCACAAGAGACACGCACAGAGAGGCAGAGACACAGGCAGTGGGAGAAGCAGGCTCCACGCAGGGAGCTCGTTCCTGGGACCCCAGGATCATGCTCTGAGCTGAAGGCAGGCGCTAAACGGCCGAGCCACCCAGGGATCCCCTGTATGTTAATTCCTTTAAAGTTTGTCCTTTCCTACACATAGATCCTGTATGTATTTTAGATTCTTTCCTAAGTATTACTTTTTGTAAATGATGTTGTGCTTTAAATTTCAGATTTCAACTGTATGTTGCTATACAGGAAAGCAAACGATTCCTGTGTATTAACCTTGTATCTTAAGTTTTTTTTTTTTTTTTTTTTTTTTTTGTATCTTAAGTTCTTAACCATAATCATCTGCTCCACATGCCCAGCATGGAACCCAACGTGGGGCTCAAACACAATCCCAAGATCAAACCTGGGCCTGTATCAAGAGCCGGCCACTTAACCTGGTTACCCAGGTATCCAACATTTTTTTTTTATTATTATTTTGAGAAATCGCACAAAAACAATGTCATCCCTGAACAAATTCAGGGTTTTCTTTTTTCTCCCCAACCTGTTTATTTTTTTATTCCCTTACTGTATTACCTTGGATTTCCACGTATGATTTGAAAACTATTGTGAGAGGGGATATCCTCGCCTTAGCAGGAAAGTTTCTAGTTTCTTAACATTAAGTATGTCGCTAACTGGAGGGTTTTCACAAATTTTCTCAAGTTGAGGAAGTTCTATTCCTAGTTCATTTAAAGTTTTTATCATAAATGAGTGTTGGGAGGACGCCTGGGCGGCTCAGGAGTTGACCCTCTGCCTCTGGGTCAGGCTCAGGGCCGGGATCCAGTCCACATCAGGCTCCCCATGCCATGGGGGCCTGCCTCTCTCTGTGTATCTTTCATGAATAAATAACTAAAGTCTCTTACAAAAAAAATAAATAAATAAAAATAATAATAAATAAGTGTTGGGGTAAGCACCTTATAAATGTTGCTTTAAATCTATCTATCCTGTGAGTCCTCTAAGCAGGGACAGATGGGAAGCAAGGTACGTAGGAATTAAAGTTACGCAGACAACTATCCCAATGCCTACCGCGCCCAAATCAATAGCTGTGTATCGGATTTGTAACGGGGGAGGGAAGGCAAAGACAAGACGCTGCAGTACGCTGGGCACTGGAACCCAAAAGCAAGGTCAAACGCCCAGAGCGCTAGTCAGGAACTCACTTAAAAGCATTATCAATTGGGCAGCCTGGGTGGCCCAGCGGTTTAGCGCCGCCCTGGGCCCAGGGCCTGATTCTGGAGACCCGGGATCGAGTCCCACGTCGGGCTCCCGGTGCATGGAGCCTGCTTCTCCATCTGCCTCTCTCTGGGTCTCTGCGAATGAAAAAATAAGAGCATTATCAATTGCCTTTTAGAAATGTGTCTGCTCGTATTCTTTGGCAAAGTTAAAATTTTATATTCTAAGATTTTATTTATTCATGAGAGGCGGGGGGGGGGGTGGGGCAGAGGGGGAAGCAGGCTCCATGCAGGGAGCCCGACGCGGCACTCGATCCCGAGTCTCCAAGGTCACGTCCTGGGCCGAAGGCAGATGCTCAACCGCTGAGCCGGCCGGGCTGCCCCGGTTAAAATCTTAAAAGGCAGATTTTCTTCACACCCGTCGGGCGCTGGCGGAGCCCCGCGGTCCTCGCTCGCGGGCCGGGCGTTCGCTCACCGGTGAGCGCGGCGCTGCAGGCCTAGACACTGAACACGACGCCTCCGTCCCCCTTGTACCGTTTCTCCTTAACCTCGTGTCGAGTTTGAAGACACACTGCGCATTCAGCCCTCGAAACCCACTTTTAAAACCCAGCTCCTGCCCTTGAACACCTCTGGCCGGAAGCCTCCACAAAAAGCCCCAGAGCCTGAGCGAGAGGCTGCGGGCTTCGAACAAAACGAAGGCGGGGGCGGGGTGGGGGGGAAGCCCTCAAATCCAACGCGAACGTGGGGCGCCGCCGGTCCTGCCTCTTCCAGGTGAATCCTTCCCGGAGCCGCCGTCGGGCACGGGCTTCCCGTCGCCGACCGCTCCCGCAAGGCCTCCGAGCGCGCGGGCTCGGGCCGCAGGAAAAGGGAAGGCGCGCCGAGCGCGGGAGCGAGGGGAGGGCTCCGCTGCCCTCCGAGCGCCGCCGGCCTCCCGCCGCGACCTCCCGCCGGCCCCCGCGCGGCTCGCCTCCCCCCGCGTCGCCCCGCCAGTCCTGCACCCGGCGTGCACCGCGCCGACCTCTTCCTTCCCGGCCGACCCCCACCTTCGGGCGCCTCCGAATGACAGGCGGCGCGGGGCATTGTGGTCCCGAGCGTGAGAGCGAGGCCGGGGACAGGAAAAAGAAAGCAAAAGACGAGGGCGAGGCGGTAGGGCGGCCCCCCGCGCACGCGCACGGGCCGCGCCGGGGGCGAAAAGGGGCGGCGCGTGGCCTACGGCGAGCGGAGTGGGGCGGGGTCGCGCGGCCTTGGCGGGGAGTCCGCGAGCCGGGAGGGGAGGGGGGCGGGCGAGGGAGCGGGCGGAGGAGGAAGTGTCATGGCGTCGGGCCGTGGAGCTTCTTCTCGCTGGTTCTTTACTCGGGAACAGCTGGAGAACACGCCGAGCCGCCGCTGCGGAGTGGAGGCGGATAAGGAGCTCTCGTACCGCCAGCAGGCGGCCAACCTCATCCAGGACATGGGACAGCGTCTCAATGTGTATCCTTTCCTGTTCCCGGGCCTCCGCCGCTCACGCCCTGTTCCCCCTCGCTGTTCGCCGGCTGCCGGGCCTGCCGCCCCGCGAACATGGCGCCACCGCCTCGGCCCCGCTGTGCAGGGCCTCGGGCTCGCCGTGGCGGAAAGGCGGGCTCGGGCTCGGGCTCGGGCTCGGGCTCGGGCTCCGGAGGCCGCAGGCGGCCGGGGAAGGAGGCGAGGAGAGCAGCCGGGGAACGCGGGCCGGGAGGCGGCGTTGTGTAATCTGTTTGGGGCCGCGCGTGGCGGCGGCGGGGGAGGGGAGCGGCGCGGCGGCCCGAGCGGAGTCTTGGGGATCCTCGCAGGGAAGGGGTGGCCGCCCGAGGTCGGAGAAGGAGGGGTGGGGAGGCAGGAGGGCCAGCCGGGCCGCGAGGCTCGAGCGTCCTCCGCGGCCGCGCCTCACCTCGCCTCGCCTCGCCTCGCCGGTGTGATGGCGGGTCTCGTACCTTGGGAGCTCCCTGGAGGTCTTTATGTTCTCGGCGTGGTTCTGTGCGCGCGCGCGTTTCAACTGTCTGATGTGGAGTTTACTCAGTCACAGCCTTTGAGAAGTCCTTCCTGGGCTTGCTTAATAGCAATATTGGAGCGAAAGGCTCAGCGCTGCGTGTTGCTGTTGGCGTCGAGCCTACCCCCCCCACCGCCATCCCCACCCCCCCACCCCCCTCGCGGGGTTTTGTTTTTTGTGTATATAGTGTTGGGGTTGGTTCGGAGCGAAGGGTGAGCGTTGGAAAAACACCGTAGATCGGGAATTTTCCATCAGAATCGTTTATGGAAATGGGATCTTGGTTTTTTTTTTCTCGGATGTTTCCTAAATGTTACGTTCCAGCTCTCAGCTTACAATAAACACTGCGATTGTTTATATGCACAGGTTCTATATGCACCATTCTTTCACCAAATTCAATAGAAATGTAAGTACCCTTTTATTGTTTGTGTTTACCATAGCCAAGTGTTGAGGCAAACGGATACGCACAGAAAAGTTGGTCGTGGATTTTACTGTTGGATTTAGTGCTCCAAATTAATAGTGAAGGTAAACCGCGTGAAAAGCATTTTGCTTGAAATGCAAAATATTTCTGGTTTGTTTTTTTGATGATGGCAAGCTGCGGGGCACTGTGTTAGGCTTTGCCAGGTTTTTGAGCTAATAAAAGATAATAAACGTTTATTTACTCAAAGAGCTGTTAGTCGGTATTCGTTTAATTTTTATACTTTTGAGTAAGTTCAAATAGTAACGGACATTGTATTTTGGCCTAGTTATTCTGTTGTACATGTTAAATGCGTTGGACTCCTCTGTTTCAAATACTGTGAATTGGGCTTAATTGTAACATTGTTTTTAAATGACCCTTTGAAAGTAAAATGTCTAGCAGAAATACCTCGTTTGCTAACAGTTTCTCAAGGTGTCAGCGTTCCTATTTATCACAGCATTAGTTGTCTGCTTCTGTTTTTTGGTGACTTAGACATAAAATATTACTTCGAACATACAGTTTAAGAGGTGTGCACGTGTGTAATCAGTTTTGAAGTAAAACTTACCCACCAAGACTAAAGAACGTAACTTGTAAATCTGGAAGAATTGAGTTAATACCGTTTAGTTGAATTTTTTATTTTACGTTGTGAAAGGTATGAGTTTGGTGTCTGTTCTTCTCAGAGTAACATACATACCTTGTTGCATCTGTTAACAGAAAATTGCCCATATAGAAACATTTAACTCTGTTGTAATTGTCCCTATATTTTTTGCTCTTTATTTATCACAGCTGTTTTTAGAATGCTATTCTGAAAGGTGTGTGTAGAAAAAAAAAAATGGACCGTGGAAGGAAGACTTTATGCTATTTGTAGATGGTCATTAGGACCTTTTTGCTAAGAAAACAGTCTTTGAAAAGGTCCTTAAAATATTTTTTTCTGATTGGAAGGACCAGCTTCGTAGCTTAGATTGATTCCTATTTTAATCTCTTCTGATCATAAGATGTTTTGGTTTCCTGCAGCCTCCTTTTCTTCTCTTTCTTATTTAAAGCTACAGGATTCTTGTTCCGTTTCCATTTTCCTAGTTATTTCTTGCGCACTTAGAAAGTCAGTGATAGTGTTATGGAAGAGAGAGGAAGCCCCTTTGACAATAATATTTAAATTGAGAGAAATATATTTTTATATAAATTGGCTCCAAAGGCAGTTGTAAACTAACCAATACTAATATAAATGTGACTTTCCTTAAGTAGCCTTGGATAATGCTGGTAGAAATCACAAGGCAAAATAGTTCTGGAGAATCTTGATGTGGCTACAGATGTCCCATCTGCTCAAACAGGCTTACTTTTCTACCTCCAGTAAATGATCTCATCACGACTATACTTCTCTATTTGAACCCTCCCTCTTTCATAATTTGTCTCTATGGCCTAGGTGGTGTGCTTTAAAACAGATCTTGCTTATAGCCAAAATTCACAGCTTTAACTTTGAATTGACTAGTGAAGTCCAGGTCACTTGCATTCTTTCACTAATTAAATGCCATCATTCAATAAAAAACCAAAGTATTTTTATAACCCCATTTAATGTCTTAAAAATGTACGAAGGTAAACTTCAGCATTTTACATTAAAGTGTTACTAACAGGATAATTGAAATCTGATGTTAATTTCTATTTGAAAAAGTAACATTGCACCCTTCATATCTAACTGTTGTCTTTTTCTTTTGCTATTTTATCAAAAGTGGTTTTAATATTTGTATTGGTGCACTTGCATCAATTGCACAGCCTCACTCTTTTATCTTTTTTTTTTTTTCCCTATTCTTTTAGGGTGAAGGGGGTGGTCTCAAATTGAATGTGAGTCACTTTTAAATTCATACTTCCCCACATCATTGGGAAAATTTTTCTTGTAGGGTTATAATGGAATGTCATAGTAAACTACAAAGAGCATGTATTTTACCACAAAGTAAACTGAACACCATTCAGCAAATTAAACCCTAACAAGCTTAAATTTTAAGATGCTAGTAACAAACTATATCTAGCTTTATAATAAATGCCATGCGTAATTATATTAAAATGTTTAGTGTTTATGTGGATTCATTGTATTTTCCCACATTGATTAAAAGTAAAATATCCCCTAAAATTTAAGTGCTACTGTTTAAGAATAAAATCAGTGTCAAGATGTGTTGGTAACCCAGAAACAGTCTTTTATCATTGAGTTTTACTGTGATTTTCTCTTGGAGGGTTGGATCACTATCAGCAGTAAATGACTTTTATATAAACCGAGATAAGTCTACCCTTTGCTCACTGGATGCCGTGAGGTTTATGTAATTGGGGTTAGTAATTAAAGAATGGCCTTGCAGCATCAAACTCAAGATAAATCTAGTAAAAAATAAAAGCCCTGGTGCCAGCAATGCCTCCCCAAGTTATATACTGTGGGAAGACGTCCTCTTTAGTGTCAGTCTTAGAATAAATATTGACCCAGTTTCTCTTAGAAACTCTGTTCATTAATTTGGTTAGTCAAGTTCATGATGCATTTTTTTCTTATATTCCAATTCTAATGAATTCTCTTAAGATCAGGTTGTAAAGAGCATACTGTTTTCTGGTTTTGGTGGTCACGGTCTATTCTCATAGCACTTCTCAAAATCACATGGTCATTTTAATCTTCTCTTAAGTTTCCTTAGTCCCATTGCCTCTTTTTGAGCGGCAGCTGTATAAGAATATTCCAGGTTTAAATGTATTGTAGTTCTTATTTAATGTATTGTATTTATGCTAAGGTTCCAAGAGTACACAGTTAAGGACAATATTTAGGACTGATGATTTTAAGGAATGACTATAATTTTAAGAATGCATCATCTAAGTCATATTTACATTTTGTTTTATACATCTAAGTTACATTATTAGTCAGCTACTGTACATAACCAAACTTGTATTTTTGCTTGGACCAAAATTTGATTACCACTTTTTGCTTACAGTCTCTGTACTCTTTCTCATTTGACTTGACTATTGGCAAGTAGATGTCTTTTGAAAATTCGCATTCCTTTCTTCCCCTAGAAAGACTTAAATGAGGAAAGCTGTTCTTGTATCTATCTACAGAAATGCCCATAGTCTCTGTTCCTTTTTTTTTTTTTTTTTAAGATTTTATTTATGTATTCATGAAAAACCCAGAGAGAGAGGCAGAGACACAGGCAGAGGGAGAAGCAGGCTCCATGTAGGGAGCCCGACGTGGGACTCGATCCCGGGTCTCCAGGATCAGGCCCTGGGCGGAAGGCAGGCACCAAACTGCTGAGCCACCCAGGGATCCCCAGTTCTTTGATAATATAGCATCTACCAATTTAACTTTTAAGAATAGTCTTTGCAAAAGAAATTTATTCAAGACTTTTTTAAAAGTAGATTTTATCCAGTTTACACTAATTGTGCTTATTTATGCTAAAATTGTCATACATGATTGCCTCTTGTGAAAAACATTGGTTAGCTAAAGGATTTTGTTTATATTTTTATTGTGTAAGCCCTAAATTTCTCTCAAATGTAGTAATGTAAATGAAGTTAAATGTAAAAATGTCCCCCAACACAACATTCAGACTATAAGGTAAACGATGTAAGGACAGGGTTTTGTTTGTTTCTTTTTTGGTTTTACTCACTGTTGTGTCATCATTACTTCACCTAAAGTAGATAGTGTAGCAGCTATTTGTCAATACG